TCCCCCAGCATGCCTTTTACCATTTCTGATGAAGCTTCTTCCATCCGTGTACCAGGTTTCTTTGGCGTCAGGCAAGGGAACATCCTTCAGGATGCAATGCACCTGTGTCAGAATTTCGGTACAGTCATGGAGTGGGTCCCCGAGATTGGGGTCTGGCAACAGCGTGGCTGGGTTCAGGGCCATGGTACCTGGAAGGTGATCCTGGGCGGATTTAGGGGCAGAGCCTGATAATGAGTTAATCGGGCATTGCTCAACCATCGATTGGGGGGTTGCTTGAGCACCCCTTCGAGGGCATGAGGGGTTGCCACAAGCAGGTCCTGTCCCAGGGTTAACTTGTTAGCATCCTTAACCAGCAAGGCCACTGCTGCTATAATTCGCAGGCAGGGGGGCCATCCAGCTGCTACAGGGTCTAATTTCTTTGATAGGTATGCTATAGGTCTCTTCCAGGGGTCTACTCTCTGGGTGAGGACCCCTTTCGCAATACCTTTATGTTCATCCACACATAGACAGAAAGGTTTACTTATGTCTGGTAGTCCTAGGGCAGGGGCCTCTAAGAGCTTGCATTTTAGGGTTTCAAAGGCCTCTTGCCTTTCCTGTGTCCAGCTGAAGTCCTGTCCTTCTTTGGTAGCCTCATATAGGGGGTTTGCAATTTTGGTGAACCCCAAAATCCAGAGGTGGCAGAACCCTGCGGTACCCAGGAATTCCCTCACCTGTTTTCTGAAGGTCGGTGCAGGTATCTTTAGCACAATCTCTTTGTGGGCCTTAGTCAACCACCGCTGCTCCTCCTTGAGGATGTACCCTAGGTAAGTCACTTCTTGCAAATATATCTGAGCATTTTTTTACTGAGGCCGGTTATCCTAAGTCCCCAAGTATGTGCAGTAAGTCCTCTGTCCCCTCCAGGCAGGACTTCTGGTCCAGTGCTGTGATCATAAGTCATCTACATATTGTAACAGGCTTATGTTAGGGTGTTGGGCTCTGTACTCACCCAGATCTTCATGCAGAGCCTCATTGAATATAGTTGGAGAATTTTTAAACCCTTGAAGCAGTCATGTCCAGGTCAGCTAGCCACTGATTCCTGCCTCCGGATCATGCCATTCAAAGGCAAAGTAGGGCTGACTGCTGGCAGCTAGTGGCAGGCTGAAGAAGGCATCCTTGAGGTCCAGAACTGTATACCATTGCCGATCTGGTGGCAGGGTACTGAGTAACGTATAAGGGTTGGGGACAGTGGGATGAATGTCAATGACTCTCTTGTTCAACTCCCTCAAATCTTGTACCAGTCTATAGTCCCCGGATTGGGGCTTTTTGACAGGCAGGAGTGGGGTGTTCCAGGCAGACTGGGTCATTCTCAGCACCCCCAGTTCCATTAATCTTCTGATATGCGGAGTAATTCCACGTTTTGCCTCTAGGGGCATAGGATACACATAGGATACTGGCTCACTTTAACAGGGTCTGCCCCTGCTTTGAGTTCAACATATACAGGAGGCCTGTGTCCTGCCAGACCCATACCCCTGTTTCTGCCCAGGCTTGGGGAAATTTTTAGAGCCAATATGATATATCAGGGTTTGGTTGGATCGGCTCCTGATGGAGTCTGTATTCCTCAGTCAGGTCGTTGGTGACTAGAACCTGAACCGGTGCCCCGTTGTGAAGCAGGGTGGCTCCTTTAGCTGTGAAGTGGATCTGTGCCCTCATTTTTGACAATAAATCTCTGCCCAGAAGTGGGTAGGGACATTCTGGGATTACTAGAAATGAGTGGGATACCCGGCCCTTCCCTAAATCTACTGTTCTT